TCGAAGAGCATGAGAAGAAGATTAACATTAAACAGGGATGAGAGGTGGGAGGGAAAGGGAGAGAGAAGGGAAATTGCATGGAAATGGAAGGAGACCCTCAGAGTTATACAAAAGTACATACAAGAGGAAGTGAGGGGAAAGGGAAAAATAATACAAGGGGGACAAATGAATGTCAGTAGAGGGGGCAGAGAGAGAAGAGGGGAGGGGAGGGGAGGGGAGGGGGGATAGTAGAGGATAGGAAAGGCAGCAGAACACAACAGACACTAGTATGGCAATATGTAAATCAATGGATGTGTAACTGATGTGATTCTACAATCTGTATATGGGGTAAAAATGGGAGCTCATAACCCACTTGAATCAAAGTGTGAAATATGATATATCAAGAACTATGTAATGTTTTGAACAGCCAACAATAAAAAATTAAAAAAAATAAAAAAGAAGGTTCTCAGCTCATTTTCAAGGAGGAAAAACATAAACAAGTTAAAGAGAAGAGCCACATCATGAAGTTGCTCCATGTAAGGAGGATTTCTCTATTGACCGTCATTACTCTGGGCTCCAGTCAGGGCCAGGGTCAGTGGCTGGGCAGCCCAGAAGTCTGCCCTGGAGGTTCTGAGAAGAAGGCTGCTTAGAATTCTTATCTGGACTTTTATTTATTTATTTAATAATAAATACACATACTTCTTAGGTATTGCAAGAAATGAAAACAAATCATCTTATTCCCCCTTCCCTCCTCCACCATTCTTCCCTAATACAAATTAAGAAAAGCCAGATTTGCAGGTAAATGGATGGAGTTGGAGAATATCGTGCTAGGTGAAGCAAGCCAATCCCAAAAAACCAAAGGCCGAATGTTCTCTCTGATAAGTTGATGCTGATCTGTAATTGGGGGAACATGGGAAAAATAGAGGAACTTTGATGGGGCACAGGGGAGGGAAAGGTGGTGAGGGGGCATGGGGGTAGGAAAGATAGTGGAATGAGATGGACATCATTACCCTAGTTGCATGTATGACTGCACATTATGGTGCGATGCTACATCTTGTACAATTGTGCTGCAATTGTGTACAAGGAATCAAAATACATTCTGCTGTCATATATACCTAATTAAAATTTTAAAAAAGCCTAAGAAAATCCAGGTGCTCTATTGTTTTTTATTTTCTTTCTTTCTTTTTTTAAAACAACAATTGCAATAGATATCTGACTAAACAGGATAGATTTTTTTCTTCTACTCATCCACCTGCCCAGGCAATTTTTTATTTATCCATCCATCGTCCATCTGCTCACCCATTCCATTTCACAAATCATGTTGTGAAATTACTTTAGAACATTCTTTCCATGTTTTAAAAAGTATGACTTTCGTTCACTCAAGTAATTATGCATGGAGAAGGTTTGATAAAGAGGCAGGAACCCACTAGCAAAGGGGAATCCCTTGGAATAAAGCTGCCATTCAGATGGGCAGTTCCTCAGCTTTACTGCTGTGCCCAGCAAGTTAGGAGAAGTTAGAAATGTCTCCCAGAAGTGCCCCATGTCCTCTGAATTGCGTGAATGTGTTTAGATACAGTTTTTGAAAGACAAGGGAAAAGAAATTGGCTCTATGAATGTGGACCAGTTATAGAAAGGATACTGGACTAAAAGAAATGAGAATTAGGCAGTGGAAGCAAGATATATACGTAGGTCTATAAGCAGCAGCATGAGGTATGGGGTGAGAGGGCCATAAGCATTAGTCCACTCGGTGTCCCTGCTTGCCTCTGAGCATGGCTGATTTTCTTGAGTTGAGCTTCTCTAAGGCTTTGTGTCTTTAATTAATTTATTTTGATTCTTTTTTATTTATTCTAATTAGTTATAATGTCAGTAGAATGCATTTTGATACATTGTTATTATTTTTTTAAGAACTTAAGTTTTCTACTAAGAAAATATACAATAGCAGAAAATAACAGTCATGAAAAGGAGAATTTTTTTTCTTCCTTCTTCCCCTTCCTCGCTTTCTCCTTCAGCTAAAGAAATGCCCAATCACCATTTAGTTCAAATATAATGCCTTTTATATTTTATTAAGTAATTTTTATATGAATGTTCTCAATAGATAATCTCTTACAAGCATCTGTTATTTTGAGCATTGTGCTTTGAACACCAAAACAGAGTAGTGTGAAACTTTTGAGAAGCACTAGAAAGACAAGAAGAACCAGGAAACTTCATACAAGATATCTTTATTCTTCCATGTGGTGGCAGGGAGAACAGGACATTTGTTCTTTATTATTCAAAGAGCCTTTTAAAAGTCACCTAGGAAATCAAGCATTCTAAGGATCTCCTGATTTCTTTTGGCTTTGGCCAAGAAAATGGAATTACTGAGAAAATCCAACTTTTTATAAAATATTGCTGTTGGAAGGTCTTTTCAGTGGGTTAAATACTATAAAACTATTGTTTGCTAGACAATCCAGAGGAGGGAGAAAATAAAAATAATTATGAGACAGCAGCATGTTGGGTGGGGTTTGCACAGACTTGATCCCAATGTCAGACCATGGTCTCAGAGTTTCAGTGTGATGGTGTTTTTTCTCTTATCTTAGGTGACGGATGATGTGTTAAGGCAAAAGCAAGGATTCTTTACCTCTCAGGTTTTTGAAACAGTCCAAACACTGTAGTTCTCATGCCAATTTCCTTTAACCACGACCTTGCATTATATGAAGGTCAACTTCTCCCACTGAGGATTTCTAAACCCATCAGTGGCTGGAGATTTACAGGCACAAGTCTGCTTCTGGCTGCTTTTCTGAATCCTGATTATGGAGTCAGTGTAGGAAGAAGCAAGCAATGCTAGAATTATATTGTCATTGCATGGGTTTGCTTTATAGATGTCTTCTCTTTAGAACATTCCTTTTTCTTGTTTTAAATCCTGGGGTCGTTATGCAGTGGAGGGCATTTCTTAAACAGTTGACAACATTGTGGAGGTGAAGATCTGTTGTAAAATCTGAGGGATGTCCTTGGTATCCATGGCAATGAAAGACCTGCCAGCTGGTAAAGTTTTCTGGAGCCTGCCAGGAGGGGAAGGAAAAGAAAGTTACCATTACAAATTGAGGATCCCTTTCCATCTTCCTCCATGGCAAATCATATCTAAGTGGTAGGAAAGGAAGTTTTTACTTTCTAATACCTTGCTTACTGCCTGCAATTTAACTGGCTGTCACTAAACAATGAAAGGCCTGGAAGAGCAACAGGGAGAGAGAGAGAGTAAAAGCAATAAACCATAAGGAAGGTCCTTGCAGTAAGAAAACGAGTGGATGTGGAAAGGAAAAAAAATTCTCCTTTTCATGACTGTTATTTTCTGCTATTGTATATTTCCTTAGTAGAACAGAGCCCTAGGGACCCAACTAGAATTAGCTCACCTGGGTTCAGCAAATGTGTTGGCCTGATACTGTACATCTAAATGCTTTGCCTTCTAGAAAACAGGGCTCCAAGAATTTTGCCCAGCCAAATCCTGAGTGGTTTTATTTTTTCTCCACCCTCCTCTCCTTTTTTGGCTCAACTCACACAAATGTGCATTGCAGTCTGGTTTTTCCAACTGCTGCTTTGATAATACTGAGGTTATATAAGCTTATAGCAATTTTAAAAAATACTAACTTATTACTTGGAACAAAATAACATTTTTGAAGGTAATAAAACCACAAGATACAATTTTATTCAAAGGAATGCCTCTTTTCATTGTGGCAACGGAGTCTGGTTTTGGAATGACATTTCATAAAAGTCAGCCATCCTGTGTAGTATCATCCATTTGGCATGCCTGGCAAACCAGAAAATTCTGCAACATATCTTTTGCCAGTGGCTTTGGACCATTTCCCTAGGAAATCACAAGGGTATTATTGTGCTTCCTTAAGTATTCAAACAGGATCTGTTTACTAGAAGACAAAGTAGCCATTTCAGATCAACTAGTGTTTGCTATCTGCCTAATACTGGGCTGTGCTGAGAAAAACAGGACTAGGAAAAGCATGGTTTGCTTTCAAGGACAAGAAGGTGCAAAGTGCCAATGCATAAAAGTCAGTTGTATTAAAGTGATGGTGATGACACAATATTGTCTATTCTTTACCTTCCTCAGTAATTCTGTAGCAAGGTGATGGAAGATGTCAGCATGCAGGATACTAAAACCTTTCCTAGTTCATGGTCTCTGAATCACAGAGCATGACAGGTTAAAGAGGAGAAATAGGAAAGACAGGCCCTTTGGGGCTCAGGAAGATTTTTTGTTTAGTTTTGTTTTTTTGTTAGTTTTAGCAGATAAACTTTTACCTGTGTTTTCTGTTTTTTATAAATATTATATGTAGAGAAATATGAGCTATTTTGGTTTGTCATTCAAAAAGATAAATGTTAAAAGATAAGTACATTTAAGTTATGAAAGCTTCCCCAGATCTTTCCTTTTAGATCATCCTCAGTGGTATTTATTGTTTGACCATAAATTTCTTCAGTGAACATTCAGAATATTTAGTGTAGAATATAACTATATATGGTGTCTTAATTGGTTTCCAAGTGTTTCATCTGCTTTGTCTGCCCAGTAATAGTGGACACACACACGCACACACACACACTCATATACACACACACGCAGATATATGTGTATAAATACACACACACATACATAGGCATATCTATGGATACTTACACACACACACACACATATATATATATATATATATATACATTTATATCACTTATTAGAGAATCAAGTATGTGGAGATACATGTATGTATGTCTACATGTCTATCTGTCTATATATATGTCTACATATAAAATACTTAGACACAAATATACACATTTTGTCTTATGCCAAGAAAACTAACATATTCACTATTTTGAATATGATTTGGACACAAACTGATGAGACTATGCTTGGGACCTTGATACAAGATGCCAAATGCATAAAATATTATCTAACATTAATGAACAAACCAATTTGATAATTAGTTTGTTAGTTTAAACATAATCTGAAAAACAGTTAATTTAAATTTAAATTTATGATTGCTTCTCTAAACATAAGCTAAAACATCACATCTCCTCAGTTAGATTGCAAACTCTTGAGTGGCATCTCTAGATTGTTTTTCCTTTATGTCCCTCACTCAGTTCCCCTCTGGTGCTCATTCCACCAGACAGCATGTGTCAGGCTATTATGGTTTGGATGTGAGGTTTCCCCCCAAAGCTCATGTGTGAGACAATGCAAGAAGGTTCAGAGAAGAAATGGTCGGGCTATAAAAGCCTTAATCCAATCAGTGAATTAATCACCTACTGGGATTAATTGAGTGGTAACTGGACACAGGTGGGGTGTGGCTGGAGGAAGTAGGGCATGGGGAAGGGATTGGGGGTATATATTTGTATCTGGTGAGTGGAATCTCTCTGCTTTCTGATCATGTGAGCTGCTCCCTTCTGCCACTCTCTTCTACCATGACGTTGAGCCTCACCTTGAGCTATGGATTGAGACTTCTGAAATCATGAGTCCATTATAATAAACTTTTCCTCCCCTAAAATTGTTTTGGTCAGATCTTTTAGTCATAGCAGCAAAAAAAGCTGACTAAAACACAGGCACTCATTCTATCTATGCCTGCCTTTTGCAGTGTCCTGAGATGACACTTACCTGGTTGCTTGATCACCCAATGATCCAATAAAAATGGCAAAAGCATTTACTTGAGGGTCACTTGTAAGGATTTGGGCAAATGTGGCAGGTTTTATTCCATATCGTGACAGATTTGCATCACTTAAGACTATGACAAAGTATTCATCAGCCTCTTCTTTGACAATTTCCTTGATAGCATGTTCTGTCCCCATTAATGTGTGGTCTCCACTCATGCAGAACTGAGAGTGGGCATGCATTGTCTGGAGGAAAGAGTCAGAGCAAAAGTCAGGGGTGATAAGCTTCTTTGAACAAACAGGATGGTTTTTCTATTGACTGTGTGAATGCATAAAAGCTAATTATTACAAGTCAGTAACAGGTTTCTGAGCAAGTTTATTTAACTTGCACATCAGAGTAACAACAGTACACAGTAATATTTGCATTTGGTAGACTTTTGTTAGAAAGAAGGAAATGTTCCAAACTATCACTGTTGACAATTACTTTTAAAATTAAAGTTTCCATTTAAAGTGAGAAAATGTAAGAAAGTATAAGAATTGGTATCACATGGGTGAAAAATAAGGAATGGATTAAATTTCCAATAAAGTTATATTGTACTTACATCAGTAGCAATGGAGGAAATTTGATTTAAATCATTACATGCATGTTTTTCTTGCAGATTGAAGTATGTGCAATTAAATTTATTATTATAAGATACTAAGAAAAGCATAAATTAGTACTCTACAAGGGATCATTCTTTTCCTTCTACTGAACATGTAGCATATATGAGGAGTCACAGGTTACAGAATCCCAATGCAATACTGAGATGCATAATCCCAATCCAATACTGAGTACTCTAAAAATATGCACAGAGCAAAATTCAAATTTGGATGATGGAGAAAAGGGTTTGAGGTCTCATGGGTGTTTTCTGTTTACAACTTGAAAGTTTGTGAAACAGAACATCATTTTCTTTCTAATATCTACTGCTTCTTCAGTGAATCTTTTTATATAGTCTTTAGCTAATCAGATAGAAGTTTTCACAGTATAGAGATAACAACATATTTACCTTTAGAATTTCTAGTCTTTGTTTGTTGTTCTTGGGGATTTTGTTAATTGAAACTAGTGCAATATTGTAGTCATCTCCAGAGTGTCCAGCGATGTCATACTATGCAAAGAATCAGAGAGTTAGAAAACATTGTCCACTAGAGAATTATCACTGAGCCTTTGCATTTCTATCTCTTTGGAATCTGATGGTCCAAAGTTGCTCAATATTTGGCCATTAAGAAATGCACAGAAGCAGATGTATGTTTATCAATAGTTGAAATGCAGACAGATTCTCATTTTGGATCCACCTTCTTTTGTGATCTCTGCTTTCTGTAGGAGGTGGAAAGTATGATGAGGGCTTCGGGGACTACCCTGAATTCCATTCATAACTTTCAGGGAGAATTTTTTTTTTTTTCCAATCACACACACACATAGAAACAATGATGGGCAGAATTCTAAGGTGGTCGTCAAGATCCCACGCCCCAGTGCACCTGTTCTTTATAAGCTTCTTCCTGTAAGCTGGGGCAGGATCTGGAAATAGGATGGGGAGTTACTCATGATAATGTTAACTTAATGGCAAAATGAACTTGCAGATATAATTAAGTTTACTTGGTTTGAGTTAATTGAAAGGGAGGTAATAAGGGCCTAATCAAATCACTTGAACTATTGATTTATTGTTTGTTTGTCTATTATATCCTCCTTTTATTGGTGGGATGCTGAGAGTAGAAAACTGATATGTAAATTGTACATTTACTCCTGAAATTTTTTTAGGAAAATGTAATTTTATTTTTTGAGATAAAAATCACAGATCCAAAAATGTGATTTTTTTGTATTTCTTTTTTTCCTCATTTTTAATAGGTTGATTATAGTTGGACATATTGATAGGATATATTGTTACATATTTGTACACACACATAATATGACAACACAATTGGGCCAATATCACTCCCCACTATGTCCCACCTCCCTCCCTACCTCTCACTCCTTAGTCTCATTCCTTTACTACTCTCCATTTGGTTTTTAGGAGACCAATCCCACCTTTATTTTCCTTTTTCCTCTCTAGCTTCCACATATGAGAAAAAAAACATATGGCCCTCAAACTTTTGAGTTTATTTAACTTAACACGATGGTTATTAACACGAGTTTATTTAACTAAACATTAAATAAGTTTATTTAACTTAACATGATGGTTTCTAATTCCATCCATTTTTCTGGAGATTACATAATTTCCTCTTTCTTTATGGCTGAATAAAACTCCATTGTGTAAAAATACCACATTTTCTTTATCCATTCATCATTGATGGACACCTAGGCTGGTTCCATAGCTTAGGTATTGTGACATGTGCTGCTACAAACATGAGTATGCATATATCACTGCAAGACTTTAATTATTCAGGATAAATAACAAGAAGTGGTATAGCTGGGTCATATGGTGATTCCATCCCTAGTCTTGAGGAACCTCCATACTTATTTCCATAGGGGTTGTAAATTCAATGCTATCCCATTTATTAACTCTTGGCATTATTTTTTCCGAGCTTTAGAGGTCCTATTAAGAAAGTTATTGCTTGTGACCCTATATTTTCTTTTAGGAGTTGCAGAATTTTCATTTAATTCATAGGTATTTGACCCATAAAGAGTTAATTTTTTGTGCAGGGTGAGAGATAAGGGTCTAATTCAATGCTTTTACATATGGATAACCAATTTTCCGGGGACCATTTGTTGAAAAAGGTTGTCCTTTCTCCAACCTTTTGGCACCTTTGTCAAGGACCTGATGACTAAAGGTGTATGGTGCCATGACCAGCACAACAACAACAAAGGATCTTGAGGAGGGGTGATAGGAGACTAAGAAAAACACAGAGACAAAGTAAAACAGACATTTTTAAGCAAAGCTGGGGCCAGGTGGGACACTGTTCTTAGAGGGAGGAACAATGACCCACAATGAGTTTGGCAAGTTTATTATATAGGGTCTCATCATCAGGAAGTTCAACTACAGAAGCTTTGTACATTTTTCAAGACTTGTGAGTTATCAAGAGGCTTCTTTGTGCACTAAAAAGTTATAAAGCTAAAACATTTGGGGCTATCCTGCTTTTATGCTGTTAAGAATATCCCGTGGCTATCCTGCTGTACTCAGGAAACCCACTCTACTGGAATGTTTGATAACTACTGATGTCAGAGCCCAGTGTCAAGGCTTTTCATACATCCTGCCTTTGACAAGGAATGTTTTCTCAGGCTTGGCTTTTGCCTACACTGCAGGATCAGCCAATGGGCTCATTTGTTCAATAGTTTGGATTTCTCTCTGTGTCTTCTCTCTGCACCATTGGTCTATATGTCTGTTTTTATGCCAGTCCCATGCAGTTTTTTGTTACTATAATTCTGTACTATAATTTGAAGTTAGGTATTGTGATACCTTCAGCCTTACTTTTTGGGGCTTTGAATTGATTTTGCTCTTCTGAGTTTTTTATTCTTCCAAATGCACTGAATCTGTATATTGCTTTTGGTAGCATGGCTATCTTGACAATATTAATTCTGCCTATCCATGAACATGGGAGGTTTTTTCATCTTGAGGTCATCTTCATTTTCTTTCTTCAGTATTCTATAGTTTTGTTGTAAAAGTCTTTCACCCCTTGATTAGATATACCCCTAGGTAAATTTGCAGTTTTTTGAGACTATTGTGAATGGAATTTTGTCTTTTTGATTTCATTTTCAGTAGATTTGTTGTTGTTATATAGGAAAGCTATTGATTTTTTATGTATATTTTGTAACCTGCTACTTTGCCAAATTTGTTGATTAGCTCTACCAGTTCCTTGGATCTTCTATGTATAGGATCATACAATTTACACAGAGTGATAATTTGACTTCTTCCTTTCCTATTTTTTTTTCCAATTTTACTTCCTTCTTTTAAAATTTCCTTCTCTTAACTAATTGCTCTGGTTAGAATTTCTACTTTGACTTGTCACAGATTTTAAAGGAAATGCTTTCAGTTTTTCCCCATTTACTATGAGGTTGGCTTTGGGATTTTCACATATAGCCTTTATGATGTTGAGGTAGGTTCTTTCTATCCCTAGTTTTTTCAGTGTTTTTATAATAAATGGGTTCTAAATTTTGTTGAAGTCCTTTACTGCATCTATTGATATTACAGTGATTTTTGCCCTTAATTCTATTTATATGATGAATTAAGCATAATTATGTTGAGCATAATTTGCTAATATATGATTAAGTTCATCAGGGATATTGGTCTGTAGTTTTCTCTCCTTGATATATCCTTATGTGTTTTGGGTATAAATGTGATACTGGCTTCATAGAATGAATTTGGAAGTATTTTATCACTTTCTATTTCATGGAATAATTTGAGAAGAATTGGCATTGGTTTTTCTATAAAATTTTGGTAGAATTCAGTCAAGAATAATTCTGGTCCTATGCTTTTCTTTGTTGGAATGCTTTTTTATTACTGTTTGTATTTCATTACAAGTTATTGGTCTGTTTAGGTTTTCTATGTCCTCTTGATTCCATTTTAGAGATCATATTTGTCCAGAAATGTATCTACTTCTTCTAGGTTTTCCAGTTTACTGGAATGCAAGTTTTTAAAATAGTCCCTAATGATTTGCTGGATTTCTGAGATGTCTGTGGTGATTTCTCCTTTTTCTTCTCTAATTTTGTTAATTTGGGTTTTCTCTCTTCTTGTTTTGGTTAGTTTGGCTAAAGGTTTATCAATCCTGTTTATCTTTTCAAAGAATCAACTTTTTGTCATTGATCCTTTGCATTGTGTTTTATTCTCAAATTCATTGATTTTGGCTCTGATCTTAATTATTTCCTTCCTTTTACTGGTTTTTGAATTGGTTTGTTTTACTTTTTCCAAAGCCTTGAGATGCATCATTAGGTTGTTTATTTGGGATGTTTCTGATTTTCTTATGTAGACACTCATAGCTATAAACTTTTCTCTTAGAACTGTTTTCATAGTGTCCCAGAGATTTTGGTATGTTGTATCACTATTCTCACTTGAAACTAATAATTTGTAATTTTCCCCCTGATTTCTTCCATAGTCATTTCATCATTCAAAAGAGTATTGTTCATACTCCATGTGATTATATAGGGTATTGTCGTGTTGATTTTTAATTTCATTTTATTTTGATCTGATAAGATGCAAAGAATTACTGCAATTTTTTTTTGTATTTTTTAAGTGTTGCACTGTAGCCTAAAATGTCTGTTTTGGAGAAGCTTCCATGAGTGTGTATTCAGCTATTGTTGGATGAAATACTCTAAATATGTCTTTTAAGTTCATTTGAACCTAATTTTTTTCAGGTCCAAAGAGTCTTTTGGATGACCACTCTAATCATGAGAGGTGTTTCAAAATCACCCAGCATTAGTGCACTGAGGTCTATCTGGGGCTTCATTTGATTAGCATTTTTTATGTAATTAATTGCAGCCATATTTGGGGCATAAATGTTTATTGTTGTTTTATCTTCTTATTGGATTTCTCCCTGTACCAATATGAAGTGACTTTCTTTGTATCTTCTGATTAATTTCAGTTTGAGGTCTGCTTTGTCAGATATGAGAGTGGTTACTCATGTTTGTTTTGGGGCCCCATTGGCAGGGTGTATCAAATTCCATCCTTTTGGCTTGTGTATCTCTTTTCCTGTATGGTGTGTCTATTGCTAATAACACAAAGTTGGGTCTGGTTTTTCAATCCATTCTTCCAGCCTGTCTTTTAATTGAAGAGTTGAGATCATTTATATTCAATGTTATTATACAGAGATGTTTATAATTTCCTTCCATTTTGGTTTGTTCATCACAGTTAATTTGGTCTTCTTTCTCATTTGCTTAGCTACTCTTCACATGAGATTTGTTGTTTTGTGTGTTCTGAGGTTGGTTTTTGATTTTTTTTTCCTTTGTGGAGTATTTCTTTAAGTAAGTTCTGTAGTACTGGTTTGGTATTCATGAATTCTTGTAGTTTCTGAATATCCTGGAAGGCTTTTATTTCATCTTCAATTTTGAAAGATAGTTTTGCTGAATACAGCAGTCTTGGTTGATAGTTATTTTCTTTCAGGACCTGGAACACACCATTCCCAGCCCTATTGCCTTGTAGAGTTTGTACTGAGAAATCTGAAGTGATTCTTATTGGCC